GGTGTTCCAATGACTTGTGTAGTATGTTCAACTCGTATTGCTTGCGCAGTTTAGTAGATTCGCTTTTACATCCATCCGGACGAGGCAATTTATTGGGCTGTAGTTGTTTCAGGGCTTTTCTTACTGTGTCTATTGCGAACGATAACGTGCTAACTGTATGCGCCGCTGGGGCCATATATCGCTATACATTCTCGTTTAAAGGCGGCTCCTCGGTAAACACATTCATAGAGAAATTGGACAAGAGGTTCGCCCTTTCTTTGTGTATAAAATTTAAAGATGGCGTAATTTTCTATCAAACAAGTACCAGAAATAATTTTTTCATGCATGTTTTCTATAAAATATATTTGAATTTACAAAGGCAGTCAAAATAAATGAGTAAAAGGCATACAACTTAAGTAGCCAGTTTTTACAATATATACGTTTTGCTAGTGGTCAGAAAGAAGCTCGTTAAAAAGCCCGCATCCTGTCATGACTGAAATGACTTCAGAAGACTACACGATAATCAGTCTCACAACTTGAGTCAGTGCCGATTAGCGAAAGAGTATCAGTCTTTCGCATATGACCAAATGTTGCAGGATCTTTGGCGTCTACTGTTGTCGACTGTCTCTGTGACTGGCGCGTTTGTAAACAGCGATGAGACGTCTAGGGAAAGTATCATCGTACCGTTTAAGTTCACGTACTTGACGCCGTCGATAAATTGTAACGTATCTTGATAGCTATGTGGTGCTAGCTGCTGTCGTGTGGGCTTGTGTTTCTCTGCCAAACACTTCACTATCGCATGATATGGCGAGTTTTACATGTATAAATCAGGATGAACTGGCAGACCGTCCTTGTGGATCTTAAGTAGGCCATATAAACGGGTAATGTGCGTGCCTACTGGCCGCATGTGTTCGAGATAACGGTCACTTTTATATCCTGCCGTTTGGAGACTTCTTAAGCAGCCAGTCAGCTGTATATATATTTCGTCCATACAATCTTTTACTCTGTCTAGTTTCGTAAATTTCTTCTGATCCGATAGTTTGGCACCGCTCTTGGTTACGTAGTCCGATCTGTTCATCAGAACGGCACCTAGTCCTTTGTCTGGTCTAGCAACCAATATGTCTTTGTTTCTTGTAGCTGTTTTAACTAGTCTACGTGTGCTTTTTTCAGTAGTCCACAATTTGTTAGTCCCCAGTTCAAATAATGGTAACTATAAATAGCCAGTGTTGTATATTCAAGGCTCCAGGCGCCCTGTCATCACATACCAAGTTTATGAGCCTGTACTTAGTCACGGAGCTTCGAATACCATTTACGTTTAGGGCAGTTATATTTGCCAACCACCACTCCACAAGGAGTGTTCCGGGTCCGGAACACTTCTTGGATTGAGTCAAATGAATTTTGAAAGAGCATTGACAAAGGTACACAAGCCCTTCTACGCTTACATC